TCGACTCGTGTCAATCACTCGTTAGTGGTAGGGAAGGATGCAGGGAGGGAGGGAGGGAAAAAAGAACGACGGGGGAGAGATGCAAGAGATCGTACGGTTGATGTACACTGAAGTGGTTCGAAATACCACCGTGTCGTGTTTTCTCGTTTTTTTTCGTTCCCTTTCTTTTCTTTCTTTCTTTTTTTTCTTTTTTTTTTTTTCGTGAAAAAACGAATTTCGAATTGTTTCCACCCGATGATCGAAAGAGAGAGAGAATATCATCATGAAAGAAAGAATACCCTCGTCGAACGTAATTCTTCAGAGTTTCGCTTCGAAGAAATGTATTCACACCCAAATGTATATAGTGACGTTTTCACGGTACGATTGCGTCACCATTCGGTAATAGATCGGCCAATTTCGAGACGACGTCGCCGGAATTACTGTGAATAAGGAAACGCGATAAGAGGCACGGTAATACATCATTTGATCCTGCCGCTTGTCTAATATTATAGGCACCAATCGTAAGGGCTTAATATTGGGGTGAAGGTAAGTGGCGGACCAGCTGACGTCCTGCTCCACCCTGCACGCACGCTGCGTCTCGTCTTGAGGGTGTGCGGATGAGATTTAGGGACCGACGACAGAAATCTGCCGGCGACACTGATTTGTGGTGAGCTTTGTTTCAACACGCTTAGGGACGACGCTAAGATTCTTCCGACACTTTCTCGATCAATCCGAAATCTATCCCCTTAAAACTTAATCTTATTAATGAAACTTAACTTAATAACTTTGCAAAATTTAATCAGAGATCGTCAAAGAAACGCGAACGAAAATTGAGATTCGAACGACAATAATGGTCGAGTAATAATCGACGATACTCCAAAGAACGAATCGCATCAGATACGTTAAAACGAAATCCCTCTAAATGTTCCTCTAAACATTTACCCACGAAAGATTTATTATTATTTTCGACGGAATTACTAGAATCGCGTTGACGTTGATGATCAGAAGGCGAACGAAAACTAGAAACCTTAAAACCTAGAACAGGAGCCACTAGCCTCGAGTTAGAACAATTACCCGAATGCGGTCGCCTGTCATGATTGCCGCCGAGTATAGCGTTGACGCTGAACTTGAGCTGCGGCTTCTCCTTCTCCTGGATGGTCCTGCATGCGGGTCCTAAGCACTGCTCGTCCCCGCAGGAACAGGCGGTGGTCGTTCTCTCGCCTATCCTGTCGACCACACGCTCGACCGCCACCTCTCTCTCCCCTTGAATCGTCATCTCGTCGGACGTGTGCATGACGTTTCTGCATCCAAGGTCGTACCGCCTGTCCGCCTGCAACGCCGTCACGCGTTCGCCACCTAGGATCCCGCCATCGTCCTTTTCCCTCTCGGCTTGGAGGCCACCGTCCATCTCGATACCGATCTGATCCTCGTCCACGTTCGAGTTGCACGAGTCAACGGCGGAGCTCGATCGGTTCTCGATTCTCTCGTTGCAGAGCCTCTCCATCGCGCACAGCCGATCCACGATTACGTGGCCGTCGATTCTCTCGTTGTCCACGTCCACGTACGCGATCTGGCCCCTCTCCATCCCCTCCTTCTCCCGGATGACGTGCATCCGATCGTTTTGCCGATCGACCATCCTCCCCGACGATCCTCTCTGCTGATGCTGCTCCCTCACGCCGCACTCGATCATCGGGTTCCCTCTGTCCGTGCCACGTGCGCCCGAGGTGGATCGTTGATCCAGCTGATCTCCCTGGCTCGCGCTCGAGGGAGACAATTTCTCCCTCGAATGCCTCGAGTTCGCCTCGCATTCGCGCTCCCGTTGTCTCGCTACCAGGCTGGCCGCCCAGTTCAAGGTCAGGCTGGTGAGATCGGCGCCGGGCGCCGCCTTGCTCTGGAGCAAGTTCTCCATTAAAAAGGGCGAGGTCATTGCACTTTGTTGCAGATTCTTCAGCATCGCCGCTGACGAAGGAAACATATCACGGCCTCCCTTGGCTTTTCCACCCTCCCTGCCTCCCCCCTTTGCCGAATTCGATCACCCTCGATGTGCGCGCCTTCTCGTTTCTTCTTCCCGGGAACTCACTCAGAACTCTACGTAGCAACTTTTAATCGTTTCCCAAACTCTGTTTCTCGCGAATGGTTCGAGTATACGAAGTCGATCCTCTACGTATCGCGGATGTATATTTCTACCGTTTCACGAGATATTTATCGTACAAAAATTTCATCGCACAGAAATGTCTACGAACGAGCCCTTCCCACCGATTCCCTTCTTTCCAAAACAACGGATTACGAACAAACAACAAAGATAATTTTCACGATCTTTCAGAATCGGCGTTACACATTTCACGGTAGAACGCAAGGACGAGAAGAACGGAAGGGAACGGAAACGGCGAAACTTCACTTCGCCCCGATCCATCAGCACGATCTTCCCATGGTCCTCCTCGCCTCCAGGGATCGATCCCCCGTCTCGATCGACGCACGAGATCACCTCATGGATCTTCTCACTTCAAGGAAATCACAAAGCGGACGAAACGGAGCGTGACACCACCTCGGTCATCTCGGTCGTTATATCGCGCAAGGATGCGTAACGTGTAAGCGCGCGGAGCGACTGTCACGGAGGTGATTATATCCCGTGGTGGTGGCGGAACGTGCGATTTCGGCAGCGGAATGTCAACTGGCGTGCATGCGAGCGCAGGGACCCGACACCGAAAGAGGGATAGAGAGAGAGAGAGAGAGAGAGAGAGAGAAGGGTGGTGGAGTACTCGGGGAGAGAGCGTGGCAGCGCAACGTGAGAGCGTGCAACCCTCGAATGAAAGCCGACAAAGGCATATAGCTACCTCTCTTGCCCCC